ATGAAACCCTCTGACTATATCTAACTCTTCTCTTCTCAGGCTGGTGGTGGATTCTTATCTTTGTGTCTGTGGGTGTTGCAGCAGTCTTGATCATCACTGTGTGTGTCATCGTATGGAAGAGAACTAAAGGTGAGAACATTCACAGATCAGAGTTTAATAAACAAGACGTTTTAATAAACTTAGAATCTCACTGGAAGCTAAACCCAGTTCTCTTTCTTTTGTCTTTTCAGGGAACAAAACAAAGACGGACGACGATGTGGTGAGTTCAAAATCTGAATAATCAAACGTTCATACAATCGTGATTTTATACATCACAGCAGGGTTTTATTAACTGTGTAACTCTACACACAAAAGAGTGAGTCAGTGTGTCACTGAGCAGCCATGACGGTGTCCTCTCTGTGCAGACTGATCCTGAAGAAGGTGTTTCCTACGCCTCCATCAGCTACACCAAGTAGACCAACAGTAAAGCCCAGGTGAGCTGTCTGAGTAGTGATGACGTTATGATCAGGTTGACGTCACATTGACTGTAAATATTCATGGTCACCAGGGGATGGACCGCTGCGTTTTGTCTGTGGCCCCTTCACCTTTCCTATAGAATGGAGCCGCCGTCAGATATTTCATGATCTAATCAGCAGAGAAAAGCTGCAGCGCAGTGAACATTTCATCCCTTATAAAGCAGCAGAATGTGGATTTTTCAGAACTCCTGTCACATTAAGTTTATTTGTACGTCGTTTATGAGTTTCCCTCTTCCTCTCCAGGCTCACATTCAACATGGTGATGGCGAGGATGAAGGTGACACAGTGACCTACAGCACTGTGAAGCTTCCTTCCTCTTCTGCCGCAGCCTCGGCTGACCCCAGCCACCTCTACGCCACCGTCAGCAAACCAAACAAATAAGATGTCACTTGTTAAACGTTGAGCTTCTTTTAACAGTCACATGACTGTTTGTATCATAGATTTAGAATTTTAAGACCAAAGCAAGCAGCGTTATGAATCGATTGATCCTGATAGTTGATCTGTGAAGACATGTCGGCATTGAGAGAGTTGAGGAGGCAGACATGTTGAATAAATGTGTTCTTTATACTGCGTCCCTGCACGACACAATGAAGGTTTTGCATTTATTTTGTTACCATTCAAGTGAATGTTGCTTTTTTAGTTCAGTAAATTGGACTGTGTTGTGTTTTACTGAGTAAAGTTTTCGGCTTACAAGAACACAAATGTATTTCCTTGTGTGGTTTTAACACCTTTTGAGTAAGATGGTTTATTCTGTGTTTTGCATTTTTACTTTCAAATAAAGATGAAATAAAAACTCTGTTCTCAGTTTTCTTGCTCATCTTTCTCATATTTCAAACACAACAACCTAAATCATTTATGTTTCTCACCAGAGAGTGGCACCAGAGATCCTTCACAACAAACACCTCCACTGATGGATCTGATGTCACAGACCTCAGTACAGACTTGCTTCTGCTCAGCTCTCGCAGTAAAAAGTCCCTCTGTTCAGTTGAACAGTTTGCACACGGCTCTAACTTTACTCTAAATAACATTTGAATGCACCTAAAGTGATGTGAGCTCAGGCTGTGTTCAGAGGTTCACTGTGGATGCTCATGACCTCTTTACTGTAGCTGTTAGATGACTCCATGTTATTCTCACATCGTTAAAACCCTGACGTGGTGACGTCACACACTCCGATAAAACATCAACTTTTGTAGATTTATGGTTGAAAACAAACTAGTTCAGCTACTTGTTAACATTTAGGCTTTTAGAGATGACTTCTATATGCAGTATAGAGATGCAGTGTTTCACTCTCTTGACATCCACAAGAAACTAAATAAAAATTAATATCACGCATCAATTCATCAGCCAACAGAGGAGAGATGACGTCATCGTGAGGAAGTGAAGACAGGAAGTAGATGCTGCGTTCAAAATAAAGATCAAATAAAAACTTAACTTGTGTTTTTATGCTCGTCTTTCTCATATTTCAAACACAACAACCTAAATCACTTCTATTTCTCACCAGAGAGTGGCACCAGAGATCCTTCACGACAAGCTCTATGCACTTCACGGCACAAACACCCAAACACACACTCATGTGTGATTGTTGAGCGTCTTTATTCTAAAATCCATGAGTGTAATTCTGTGCGCTGCTGAAACTGCTCAGTGTTGCATCTACTGGACGATTTACTTTCCAAGAAGCTCAATCTTGATTTCATGAAAGTAAAAAGGGAACAATGACATGAATAGGAATGCAAAGTTAAAGAACTGACTGTTCATGTGTGAGACCATATTTTTCCTGTTTTCAGATCAGAAGAAGAAGAGAATAGTAAAAAAAAGAAAGTGAAAAATAAAATAGATATACTGTAAAGATACAGAAGAACAAAGGGAGAGACGGATGGAGTGATATGATATACTGTATGTACGCATGTCTGCAAATTTAATTTAAAAAATAAATATATATCTACTAGATAACACTATGAAAGATCCCCAGTTGATTACTTACATTAAGACAATTGTATTTTGTATTACAAGTTTTCTGAAAATGTAATGTTTAAATATGCAAATGAGGAATTTTGTTTGCAAATGTGTGCTAATTTGCATACATTCTGCAGAACAGAATTCATAACATTGAATGAAGGCTCAGAAATCCTGTTTCATTTTGTTGACATATTAAAAAAGTGTCATCATGTTTTTCGTTCTTTTAACTAAAACGTTGTATAAATGAGTCTCTGAGTGATATGTGAACAAACCGCTCTGTGTTAACCTTCAGAACATAGAGAGGAATGAAAGTGTAACGTTTAGTGTATGAGAGCTGCTGAAGTGGAGATTATCTAACGGTGACTTTTGGTGAATTTAGGAGAAATCTACAGTGAAAATTGACCAGTGCATGAAAAACCATGTTTTTGCCTGTAGTGTGTCGCCTTAACATCACATCAGATATGTATTTATCATAAGGCTTTGAGGGAGGAGTGAATGTCTTTAAATCACCAATAAAAGATGAGTTTGTTGACAGCTGTCACTCGTCTAATAGAAGTCACAGTTTCCTTCCTTTCAAACTCCATCGATGCAAATGTTGAAGCAGATTAGACTCGAATGTACATTTACTTTGTGTGAGAAAGCAGAACCTACACACACACACACACACACACACACACATACACATTTATAGACAGTAATTAGTGTGTGTGTTGAGCATGAAGAAATTGCAGTTTTGGGGGGAGGGGGGGGGGTTGTTAACGCAGATTAGGACAAAGGGCTGTCAAACAAACTGATTCTGCTTCACTGGCGCTCCCCTACAGTAGTACATGGCACATTCCAGACACATGAAGGCCTGTCTCTGAAGACGAGGGGATTAGGATGAGGAAATTAATTACAACATAATTTTATATATATATATATATATATATATATATATATATATATATATATATATATCAGCCCCTGAAGATCGCTAAATGTGTGGTCAACTCTCTGAAGCAAGTTTCAGATAACAAGCTTTAAGTTTTAAGGGAACTTTAGTCTTGAATGTTTCTCTGTGAGTTAAATCAAAACTTAAATTTTGGTGAAATGCAAATTCATTTTTTATGTGGATTTTTGTTAGGTTGAGATATGGCAAGCACCACTCTTTATCTCTCCAACCCCACCCATGAATGAGAATAATTACATCATTCTGCATACAAATGGGCTGATTTAGGAGTTTTTTTCTCTTTTATTCTAAGGGTCCGTTAGACCATGACCCACTTTAAATACCCAATCACAACCGGGAGAAAATCTCCTGAGCCAATGGGACGCTTGGCGCCACCCACCTTCATGCATAATAATAAGTAGTGGAATAATGGCACAAGGGGGGACTCTTGCAGAAGCCGCAGCTTGCCTCAGTGTGTTTTTGGAGATTACTTTGCCTCCCCGAAAAACCTTCACCATGGTCGACGCCTTCTGTGCCACTTGGAAACTGGTCGACAGTGACAATTTTGATGAGTACATGAAAGCGCTCGGTGAGTAACAGTTTTTATTCTTTATTTTTCTTCCTTTCGGTATGCTCTGTTTAATTTCACTCACACTGGCAACAGATTCAGAGGATGTTAACGGCCACATTTCACCTCTCTGCCCTGGTCAGGTGTGGGCTTTGCCACCCGGCAGGTCGGTAATGTGACCAAGCCGACCGTAATCATCAGCCAGGACGGTGACAAGGTGGTGGTTCGCACCCAGAGCACCTTCAAAAACACAGAGATCTCCTTCAAGCTGGGAGAGGAGTTTGATGAAACCACCGCTGATGACAGGAACTGCAAAGTAAGTTGAAAGAAAGAAAATCTTCTTCATAAAAAGATTAAGATCCACTAACTTTCAGACGCCAGCAGTGTTTGGATGGTTTCTAAGAAGTGCCCTGCAATGGTAGAAGTAGTTTAACTGGGTTTTAATTCAAATAATCCTCAATATAAAAGTCACAACTCTTATTTAATCCAAGATCTCTCTCTCACCACGTTCATGTGTCGAGAAGATGTTAAGTTAAAACGATTGTACTTCTGATCAAACTTGGAGTCGGGGCGGTTCCTTTGTTCCTCTATTTGTGGGTCACTGAGACGACGTGACATCTTCAGACGTGAGGAACCAACATTCGACAGCGTCTGTACGCGCTGATTTTCCGCTTCGCTCGCTGAAAGCATTCTCCTCTTTTGTCTTTCAGTCCACGGTGACCATGGATGGAGACAAGTTGGTCCACGTCCAGAAGTGGGACGGCAAAGAGACCAAGTTTGTCCGGGAAATCAAGGATGGCAAGTTGGTCATGGTAAGACGAACACAACGCTGATCACACACATTCATGTCCTGTCCCACTTTATCGACATACACAACTTAAATGGAGTATAATTACTTAAGTAGCAGAGTACTCTCACTGGAAGCACTGATAATAAAACAGTCTCTTTCTGTGTGTTCTCAAATGAAAATAATATTTCAAACTTATGGTGAATCCAGAAGTTTATATTAGTGAGCAACTAAACTTTTCTTGTTGTGAGGGCAATGCTCAGTTTGTTAGTCATAAAGACTGCAGCTAGTCTCTTTGGGATTCTTGCAGAAATTAAGGACTTTAAAAACACAGGCCCAGGGGCCCAAAGTGTCAGGGGCCTCTCTAGCCTTCACCACCAAAATGTTATTTGAAGAGACACACACCAAACAGGAAGAGACTCAAAATAACCACAGAGAAACATAAAATGATTACGAATAGACGCAAAGCAACAGAAAAGAGACACAACATGACTACAAAATAAGACAAAATGACCACAAAGACACACAAAACAAAAGACATGTGTAACAGCTACAAAAAGACACAAAACAACAACAAAATACGATCGAGTCCGTCTCATAATCCGCCTATAAATGCTGCAAACAAATAAGTAATAAAAAGCCACAAAACACACTTTTTTTAGATAGTTTTGTCTTTCTGAACCTCCAAAAATGCAGCAAAACACACTTTAGATGTGATGACTGAATGTGCTTTTGTACACATTCATAGTCAAATTAGCTTGTATTGAACAAAGTAAATCACTACAGCTGCCAGGAGCTGCCTCTCTCGATCCTCCGCTCAGTCTCAGCTCTTCTCTGTTGGTATGATGGTGGATTTGTGAACTTTCACCTCTCCGTCATGGTAACCGTCTTCTCTCCCCTGCAGAATCTGACCTTTGACGACATCCATGCGGTGCGCAGCTACGAGAAGGCGTGAGCGCTGCGACAAGCATCCCAACCCGGCCAAGAAGTGTTGATTTTATAATTATTATTGACTGTATGCTTCTCTTTGCACTTCATCCTCCTCTACATGTACACGGCCTGCAGGCTGCGCATGTTTTGTAATTTTTTTTTTAATATGAAAACATTTCTGTCATTATGAATGGATCGTCTTTGCAACCATGTGAAAGATGAAATTAAAGGAAAACACAGAGAGTAAATGTTTGTCTCTTCTCTTGTTCATTGATGTTGTGATGGTTCCATCATTCAATATGGCCGACGAGAGAATAAACACTCCTCATTAGATTTAACCTGATGCAGATCTGTAAATGTGCCACTTTATTATAATTATGTCAATTTACAAAAAAACACTACTTCCCACCCCGGCTTCAAACCTGGTGGGAGAATAAGACAACGTTTGTGAAATTGCATCAATATGCTAAATGTTTCCTCTCAGAGTGATCAGTTTGACTCTGATGTGATAGTATCTGATTTTAAGGCCTCAAATGATTATTCAATCCTTGCTTCGGAGTTATGCTTTGACAGTAGTCTGTTCTTGGGTCAGTTCACCCAAACATATTCTTTATTGCTCACTTCCAGGTATCTAGTCCTTGGTTTTACCTAGGTTTGAGAAATGTCAATGTGTTTTCATTGAAACTACTTTCTAACAAAGAAATAGTCCCGAGGAAATCTGTTGAAAGCAATGTCTGTAAAAGGGGCTGATTTTAAAGCTCTGAAAACCACAAATGAAAGTATGTTCACCTTCACTGTGTCGCGCGGGAAACAGAAATCCTAGAGACCAATTTCTAAAGAGGAAACTACCCGCTTGGCTCGTGAACTGACCCTTTAATCCCAACATATTCAGACGTCACGATAATTAAATTGAGAGGAAAGAGAAGAAGATTTATGTTGCACAAATTGTTTTGTGTGTGTGTATTTTTTTTTTTAATCTCTACCAGGAGAAACAAGCGATTGCTTGTGAGTGTGTGTGCATGCCTCCGTGAGTGATTGTGCACCTTTGTGTCTGTCCACGGCTAATCTCGCATTCTGCTGCAGCCAACTGCGTTATATTTTGGGTGGCCAGTTACGGCTGCATGCTCAAGGACCTCTCGTGGTTAAAGTGACTCACACTTTATTGTCTGTTTTATGCTGCCATCGACTGCCTGCTGACTCCTTACTCACTACTTTCTTTAAAAAGAGTGAATAGTAGATCTGCAGTCTTCATAAACATTTATAGTTCTTGCTGTTTTCCTGTTGTGAAATACTTAGTTGTAGTTTGACCTCTTTAGCTCCTCTTTAGATCCTTAAAATTAAACAATCCAATAAGGAACACGCTGCATTAATCTGTGATGAGACATGCAGACATGACTGCGTATCAAGGGGTCATGAGCCAAAAAGGTTGGGTGGGTGTTGGGTCACAAAGAGTACCATTTAAATTTACAATGTGGTAGTTTTCAGGTTTACTTCAGTTAAAGTATATCAGACTGTAGAAATACCATTACAGGTAAAAGCCCTGCAATGTAAATGTTAATTAAGTATTAATTAAGTAAAAGTACATAACTGTTATCGGCAGATGTTGAAAGCATCAAGCATCGGTGACTGCTCTACATAATATATAATGTCCAAGCACCATTTTACTGGTGTAGGTGGTCAAAGTGGAGCTAATTTTAACAGTTAATCTATAATAATGAAGGCTATTTTACAAGATTATCACATATTTTGTATGTAAACTCTTAATTTGTAACCTATAACTAAATAAATGTGATGGGGTAAAAAAGTACTATAGTAAGTAAGGAGGTAAAGTTTAAGTACCTTAATATTATGCATAATTACAGTATTTGAGTAACTACTTAGTTACATGCCACCAGTGACTCTTCTCCATAAGTCCCTCCCCCTGAGCTCCAAGCAATCACATGACCACTGGAGGCTACTTCCTGTTTGTTACAGAGGAGAGTGGTGGAGTACTTTCGGTTACATGTGATGAATGTAATACACTTTATTAGCGTTTTGTAACACAATGGACGTGGTTCAGCTGTTGTGTTTGGTGCTGCTGCTGCTGTGCGGAGCGGCTCCTCTTGCAGCGGCTCCCGCAGGCAGCAGCCACCTGCCGGGCTCAGGTGAGTGAGAGTTTGGTAATTCAGCGACAAATCTCGGTGTTTTCCTAAATGTAGGGCTGCTCAGTAGATGTCCTGCTCGCCGAATTTACCCTGAGACATTGCGGATTGATGTTGGACGGTTAATGTAGCTGTGAACGTTACTTTCTTCTTTGCAAATGATGAGGAACGTAATAATGGACAGATTTATAAACGGAGTTTGGTCGGAAACTCTTCAAATATACATTAAATGGCCACTGATGTTTTTTTATTATTGAAAACAGGTTTGGAGTTTGTTTTGTAACCCTTGCATGAAATAAGGCATAAATAATCATGAAGACAGTGCTTTAAGATCCAAAATAACAATGAAATAGGACTTTAAAAAGCCTATTATCCCAGTACAAGCATGCAAAAAGAAGCCTTAAATAAACTAAATGCAATCAGAGCGTACATTATAACATTGTTGTGACACATTTCTAAAAACTACGTGTTCATCTCTTTCATCCCTTCTTCTTCTTCTCTGTCCATCCATCCAGGCAGGTTCTGGCACATCACTGACCTCCACCTGGACCCCTCCTACCACCTGAGCCCGGACCCCACCAAGGTCTGCTACTCCTCCAAAGGAGCGCCCGCCACCCACGCCGGCCTGTACGGGGACTTCCTGTGTGACTCTCCCTACGCTCTCATCCAGTCCGCCTTCGCTCACATGGCGCCGCTCACTCAGCCACAGGACTTCATCATATGGACCGGGTCGGTACCCTCATGGAGGGCGAGCGGTAGTGATTCTGCTGCTCTGTTCTTCTTCTTCTTCTTCTTGCATGAAAATGATCGGCAATGTGACTAACCAGCTCATAGAAACTATCTGTGGCTCTACAGTAGTTTCATATCCTGTTCTCTCACCACTGTATGTGTGTGTGTGTGTGTGTGTGTGTGTGTGTGTGTGTGTGTGTGTGTGTGTTCTGTACTTTCATGGGAAAACCACTCTGAGGTTTTAGACTTGAAGATTGAGGAAGCTTTTGTGAAGTGAAGTCTCTCTGGATTGCTCTCACTTCCTCTAGGAGTGCTTTTTTAATGGTTTGTTGTTTAGCCGAGATGGCGGCCATTTTTATTACGTTCACACATTCAAGTTCCCCACAAGATGCATTGTAAGAACTTTTTAAAGCTACAGTTGTATAACTTGTTGTCATATTTGCTCACTGTATCATGACAGATAATCTGTGGATAAAACAGGTTCCTCTGCCTCCTTGTGACATTTGCAATATTCCACCGTGCCCCGAAGGACAACGGCCAATCAGAGCCGAGGAGCCTCTAACGCAGCTGTCATCTTGCAAATGCCACAAGGAGCACTAAAGGGAGGCAAAGGAGCCTGATTTTCTTTGCTCAGATAATCTGTCTAAACCTTTATTATAATCATCATATACATACATGACATTTGACCTCTGCATTAGCAGCAGGGGAGGAACTCCGGGTTCAGTGTCTCGCTCATGGACACTTTGACATTCGGACAGTAGGAATCGGGGATCGAACCGACAACCTTGTGGTCGACAGCCGCTTCTCCCACTGTTAAGAGGAAGTTATTTACCACAGAGGCAGTGGTCGTAACACACACTCAGTCACTATTGTGCTACAGTCAGGATACAGTGACAGTTAGCAAATTAGACAGAGAAGTTATTTTTATTGTAGGAACCAGCTGTGACAAACCTCTGACTTTTTTTATATAGCGTCTCATAATGTATCCAACATCTTGGTTTAACCCCAAATACCTGCAAAACTAATGAACACACCCATCAACCTCTTATCCACCAAACAGAAAATAATCTTATTTTACTCTCTGCAGTTCTCTGTACTCAGCTGGTTACCATAATTAAAGATGGAGAGGGCACACAGACTGATGGTGCACAGTGTGTTTAAAGGCCTGAAAGCTCCCGGCCTTAGTAAGAGTTCTCCACTCCACCGTTCTCTAGGAGACTAATGTTCACTACACTGTGATGATGACAGCAGCAGTTCCTCCGTACAGATTTCTGTTAAATCAGCAGCTGATCAGCTCAGCCAGGAATTCATGAGCTTATTGAACATGCTTTAGAGAACGCCCGCCGTTTAATCCTCTACCCCAGGGAGTCTTTTATTCCATGTTTTAAGCTACTACGTAGGCATATTTGTGCTTTATTCTATTGTTATCGGGCTTTGTAGCACGACTCTTAAGAGGAAATCTGTCGTGCGGTGGAGTTCATGTTATTTCTGCAACATTGTGCCGCTCTGCTGAGCCGACCGTGTTTGGAAAGAACTGATTTGACGAGCAGGAAGCACAGTAGTGTTGAGAAATGAGGGTTTTCCTTGATTTCTACTTGTAGTGCTGAGTGCTAACTCATCAGATAATGCAGCTTCCTCACATTTAAAGTCATTCTCTTTGCCAAAAGCTCAGGAAAACCGAGAGAGATACAAACCCCGTTCCTGTTCTGTGCCTCATTAGAATCTCGGTTAATGACAGTGGATGTTCTCCTCCCTCTCCACCAGTGACAGTCCGCCTCATGTCCCTGTAGACGAGCTCTCTACGGACACAGTGATCCAGGTGATCAGTAATATGACCCAGACCATCAGACAACACTTCCCCAACCTCACAGTCTATCCTGCCCTGGGAAACCATGACTACTGGCCACAGGTAACTGTATTATGAGCTCATCGGATGGCAAACACTGAGAAAAGATTGGAGGATTCAGACAGGCGGCAACCTCTAAAGCTGCATTCTCTCTAGTGTCCACCAGGGGGCGACTCCTCTGGTTGTATAGAAGTCTATGAGAAAATGACTCTACTTCTCTCTTGATTTATTACCTCAGTAAACATTGTAAACATGAGTTTATGGTCTCAATCTCTAGTTTCAAGTCTTCTTCAATACAGCATGATGTTCATTTAGTACATTATGGTCCATTTAGAGTCACACAGACCATAAAGCAGGGGATGCTTTAGGGCGGGGCTTACTGTGATTGACAGTTTGCTAACGGAGCCCTGAACGGCGTCTCTAGCATGACGTCACTCCTCCTCCGTCCAGATATGGTCACTTCTGTTCATTGGTTGCAAAAAAACAAGAAGGTGACGGCGATTAGATTAGATAGTTTAAATATTGCATTTAAGTGGAGGAGTGTTTCTTATGATAACTGCCTCGTATGTGACATGTTTGTTTTGTCGTGCTGCTGCGTAACAGTTGGTGTTCCTGCTGTTTTCAGGACCAGATGTCGACCTCCACTAACGCCATCTACAAAGCTGCTGCCCAGCTGTGGAGGCCCTGGCTGCAGGCTGAAGCTCTGCTCACACTCTCACAAGGTGACATCTTCTGTCACATGACTGCTTATCTAGGCCTCCCAGACCTACAGAATGTGGCTGTTGGGTTTAGCTATAATGCAAGTTTTAAATAAAATTACAGCTTTTGTTTCATTACACTGCCGACACTTTAATACGATTCACTCAGACGTTGGTATTTAGATTGAAGAGGTTTGCATATGGAAATAGTGTGTTTTCATACCTAAAACATAAATGTTCTGTTTGCTATATCTTCACTCAGTTCTACTATGAATCTAATATTCTCTAATCAGATGATTTCAAAGATGTGACAGTCATTTTTAATATTGTGAAAGACGGGACAAATATCTACACAAACGTCTGCAAACTGTGAAGTTCCTGCATTCAAAACATGAAGAAGTGAGAGAACCACAGTCAATATGTGGCTGATGGTTATAAATGATGGTTCATACATTATGTAATAAGTTGATGCACATGTGTCAGTATTGGTATTGTGGTTCATTCACATAACAGAGCCGCAACTAACGATTGTTTTCAATATTGATGAATCCGTCAATTAGTTTTTGGATTAATCGCTTAGTTTATAAAACGGTGAAACTACAACCATAACGATTTCTAAGACGGTGACGTCTTCGCATCGCTTGTTTTGTCAAACCAACAGTCTAAAACCAAGAGATATTTAAATTTCAATAGCAACAGTGAAAAGCAGCAAATCCTCACATTTGACCAGCTGGAACCAGATGATATTTGGTATTTGTGTCCCAGTGACTACAGCGTCTTTGTCTTCCGTACTGTGTTATGTTGTGCTTTGTTCTGTTGCTGCAGGTGGTTTCTACTCCCAGCTGGTAAAGCCTGGTTTGCGGGTGCTCAGTCTCAACACCATCCTCTACTACGGCCCCAACAGAGTCACCAAGAACATGACGGACCCTGCAGGACAGTTCGAGTGGCTGCAGAAGACTCTGGAGAAAGCCGCTCAGAGTCTGGAGAAGGCAAGAATGTTTAATAAGAACTGGATACGACGACGACGCTCCAATTCTGCCCAGTGGCCACTCGCCACAAAATCCCCTTGAAGCCAAAAAATATATTTCCCCGTAGACCTCCTTTGTTTAACAGGACACCTCGAACTGCAAACAAGCTCAACTGTGACTCTTTATATTTAAAGTTATTTAAAAATGAGCATTTCTCATTGGACTGAATAGGGGGTCCGGTATCCAGTTCTTATTCTACATCTATGAGAGAATATTTAAGATGTGCTGTCTTGAACTCTGACCCTTTGAGTTGTGTGTACAATGAAAGAAACAGTAAAAGCTTCATGTGGTGTTTTCGCCAGTGATCCTGACACCTTTACTTCCGTTCTGCACTTGAAGAGCTGAGATTTAGATGCGTGTCACTCCCTTGCTCCAGGTGTACATCATAGCTCACGTACCAGTGGGCTACCTGCCCTTCGTCAGGAACACCCCCGCTGTCAGAAAGAGCCACAACGAGCGGCTGGTCGCCATCTTCAGGGAGTACAGTGATGTCATTGCGGGACAGTTCTACGGCCACACCCACCGCGACAGCATCATGGTGCTGCTGGACCAACAAGGTAAAACATATTGATCTGTGACTGTGACCCTAATCTTCACTTCCATCGATAAGTCGTCTGCTGACAGACCTTTTGAGATCAGCTTGTTCAGAAAGGGAACGCAGACACATTCACTACTTCATGCAACTGACTCGTGGGGTATTTGTGTTTTCTCGTTCTGCAGGTAAACCGGTGAATTCTCTCTTCGTGTCACCGGCTGTCACGCCTATCAAACATGTTCTGGAGCCCTACTCCAACAACCCGGCTTTCCGCGCGTACGTGTACAACACCAAGGACTACGCTCTCCTGGTGAGGAGCCTCTACGAGGAGCTTCAACAGTAAAATAACACAATGAGACCTTAAAAGAAATGTAATACAAAGTTTGACAAGATGTTTGAGTTTGCGAACATGTTGACAAAACTCCGGTCGAACTAAAAGTGTCCTGCACTGACTACATGTTATTTAAAGACAGAAGAAGAACCGTCCTGATGATTAATCACGCTGTCAATCAACACACAAACACTGTTTCTGGCTTTCAAAACGACTCAAAGCCCTTTTCTCCCTCTCTCCCCTTGTGTTGTGTTGTTTTCCTCTCCTCCTGAAGGATATCTGGCAGTACTATCTGAATCTGACGGAAGCCAACGAGAAACAAAGATCTGACTGGAGGCTTGAATACATCATGACTGAGGCGTTTGGACTGGCTGACCTGCGGCCACAAAGCCTCCTCCAGCTGGCCCTGAGCTTCAGGCTGCCGCAGACCAAAGCCTTCGACGTGTACTTCAGTCACTACATGGTCGGTTACGACAGCAGCATCGTCTGCGAGGGCGACTGTAAGCTCAGCCAGGTGTGCGCTGTGCTCTGCCTGGACCAGCTGTCCTACTCCAAATGTGTCGCAAAGGGACGACGGTTGTAAATTAGTCGTTTAATTTAAAGAAAATACTCTGATATAATGAATGAAAAGGGAAATGACAGGAAAACAGATGCAATCCAGACTACAAATAGCAACCAGCTGCCACTGCATACTGTACATTACATACACCGACAGTTAATCACGTCATTGAAACACGCGTTAGTTAAATATAAACTTCCAACGGGACCCAGAGGATGAAATGTGTAAGAATGAACTGTTTCCTGTTACAAACTAAATGTGTGACACGTTACGAGTGACATGAAGATGAAGAATGAACTGAGACAATAAACCATGTAGCATGTTGCTGTGTTCACACTACGAGCCAAACGGCAACAAACCGACGCCCGATCACTTTTGTTCAGCGCTCCATTGACGCGCTGAAGCCTCGACCAATCACATGTTTTGGTTTCAAACTGTTCTGTTCCATCTAAATTGTTCAGATAGCCACTCAGCGCTAATTAACGAAATTAACGAGCGACTCGTCGACCATGTAGCTGACCGCTGTGTTGCTTCTGTCGCTCGTCGTGTGACCACAGCATATGACATAGAAAGTGTTGATTTTAATGCTGCGGTGTATTTTTTCTACTAAATAAAGAAGTTTAAACCCGCTGATCTGTTCCGGAGGCTTCACTTTGAAGCCACAGTAACAACTTGAGCAGTTTGTCTCTGCAGGAACAGCGACTAACCTCATCTGACCCTCTCACTTCTTTCTCTTCCCTCCCCCCTCCAGCCCCCCCGGGTCTCTTTTCATTCCTCTCCTCTCGTTTCTCAGCCGCCACCTCAAGCATTCGTGCCCTCTCCTCCCCCCCCTCCACCCACCCCGGCTCTTTTGTCCCTTCGCCTCCTTGATCGCACCTCTCTTTAAAGCTCCGCTGGCAGCTTTTTTTGTGTCAAACCGCACCGACTAGAACCTCCCAAAGCTTTGCTGCAGTAGAAAAGAGCCAAAAGATGGAGTTGCACCAGTAGAACCTTGTGGCAAAGGAGGCAGGGAGCCATGTAGGACGAAGAAAAGTTCTTTTTAGACTCCTCTTCACTGCACTTGTTGTGAGTTACTCGATCAGTTTATCTCTTCAGACCCCTTCAGTTAACCAAACATGAAGGGAAGAGTTACTTTTTGGTTCAAGTGGTCACAACCCAAACATAAATGCAACATGTGCGAGGGACAAGAAAAGCTTTATGCTAAGCTACATTAGCATTTGCATGACATGAAAGCTTTATATCTGGATTCCCAGAGTGTGATGATACTTCCATCACAAACTGTTTGTATTATTCCAAACTTCAGATGGAGAGAAAGAGAGTCTGTGTGTTGAACCCTTTCCCCTCTTGTGGCCCCGATGCTTATTATTCCCGACTCCCTCAAACTCGGCGCCTGACGGAACGTAACCGTGGAGACGGAGTCGGTGCTGAGCGTGACGATGGAGAGGACTGCGTCGCCACGGTAACGGCGTTAAATCTCCCCGTCCTGTCTGTGAGGTCATCGTTAGCTGCTGCTGCTCAACCAACGACGAGCCTTCAACCAAACTGCATTCAAAACACTGTTAATGTTGCTGTGATGGGAGAGAGCACGCAGGTTTCCATTGTTCTGTATTTTAAACATATATATATATATAATTATGATTTTACTGGCAACAAATAGTACAAAGCAGGAGAAAGCAACTAAGTATATTTACTCAAGAACTGTACTTAAGTTTATTCTGAGGTACTTATACTTTGCTCAAGTATTTCCATTTTCTGAGGCAAATATTGTACTTTTTACTTCATTGCTACATTTATTTGGTAAACTTTTGTTACTTTGCAGATTCACATTGATAACACAAAATATAATCAGCACATCAGTTATAAAACTATAGTTTAAGATAAGATAAATATTCACAAGCAGTAAAACTTTGAATGCAGGACTTTTACTAGGAACCAAGTACTTCTACACTGCGGTATTGTTACTTTTACTTCAGTAAAAGATCAGAGAGCTTCTTCCTTCACAGCGCTTATGTTTTATAATTTACAATTTTGAATAAAAGTAGATTTCATGGCTTTTGACAGTGATGAACAGAAGAATCCGCCTCAATGTCGAAGTGAAAGCATCTCTGCAGCGTGACCTCGATGGATCACATGAAGTAAATGTCTGATGCGTCGGTGTTTCACAGGGTTGACTGATTAGCTGAATGGACATCAGCTCTGTGTGGAGTCGAGGGCTTTCAGTCCATTGAGGTTTGAATACACCGTCATCTGGACGAGTCAACTGGTGAGTCAGTTTCTGGTTTAAAGTGTATAAAAGTAGCTTTTTATGCGGTTTGTTTTAAGTACCGTGATGATGCTGATATTCAAAATACTTTTACTAATTCTAATGTACTTATATGTCAGAAAAAAGACTGAAGGAACGGACGCACCAAATGTTCTGCTTCTGAATTTTTCCAAGATATATGGAGTCAAAAAAAACATCCAACGCCAGGATATTGAATCATTTCTCATGTTCCTGAAACCTGCTGCAAGTTTATCTCTCAACAGGTTACACTGGAGCTTCACTTAAACACTCGTTATAACTTGTTTAACCTATTATTTTACTTTTACAAAGAAGTAGTTCCAAATTGCCACATGTCCTATATCTCAATTTGTAAAAGAAAACAGGAGACGAAGACAAACATCATGATAAACTGGGAGACTTTTCGTCTTCCTAAATGTTTGTCTGTTTGTCTGGCTGACCCACGTCTTCAGGTTTGCATACATTTCTGCTTTTGTTCCAGTTGGCCGACCGGCTGACTGGTGGCTGCCTGGTGGCTGCCTGGTGGCTGACTGGTGGCTGACTGGTGGCTGCCTGGTGGCTGACTGGTGGCTGACTGGTGGTGCCCCACAACCAGTTAATCTGAGGATTACTGTCAGGACAGTATAGCCGTCCAACTGGCCGCTCCTGGGGGGCTGGTGTGTGTGTGTGTGTGTGTGTGTGTGTGTGTGTGTGTGTGTGTGTGTGCCGTTACCCCTCAGACTTCCAGCTCACCTAATCCCTTCAAACACTGTCCCTCTCTGTAATATCTCCTGGTCTCATATCTAATGTGCTTCATTCCTGCAATGTTCAGAGTTGTACTAGACTGCTGATGACACCCAATGACTTCACACGGTAGAGGAAGGGAGGGAGAGATATAATATGAATATGTATCACATTCTGTAAATGTCTGCCTGTCGTCTCTTGAATTTATAAAGGAAGTCAGAATGTCTTGATCCTGAGTAAACGTTGCTTTTAAAGTTGATTCTCTTGAAGCCTTTTTACAGCCCAAGAGATCCCACTTAGGACTAATCAGATGGAGCATCATTACTTCTTTTTCTTCTTCTACTTTAGACCCAGTGAGCATTAATTGCTGGTAAACATGTATGGAACATGTATGGAATGCCAAAATGAATGGCAAATAAGATGTGAAATGAAAAGAAGATGAAATGCATAACTTAGAAATAAAACCCACTGAATACTAATATTAAAATCAGTATATTTGCAGCATGCACATCCGTCAATAAACACAGCAGCAGCATCAGAAGTCTCCATTCTTCTTTTATTCTGTTCTTTTCTAATTTTTAATTTTTAAAACTATTTGGCCACGAGAGCAGGAAAGCGTTGCTGTCAGACCGTAAAGAAAATATGATTTAAAATGTAAACTCTGAGTGTCCTTGTGTGCCTTTTCTGTGAGTTTGAAATCACTGAATGTGCAGTTAAAGTTAAAATAAATGAACCATCACTTTGTCTCTCCAAGTTCTGTCACATCAGCTGCATCCTGTCTATTTTTAGTATCGATCAAGTTGATGGATCTTTTCTGAGTGCATCTCACACTTTGCCTGTTTATTACTAATATAAGGAATGACACATTGGTACTTTATATTCTGTTGAAACAAAGGTAAAATAACACTTAACACAACATAGTTAGCCAGGTTTGCCTGCAAGGGGCCCACATGCAGCTAGTGTATATCTGACCCGTCACCTGGAACCTTCCCTTGGACGTCCTTACAGTCCAGTCACCATGCACACAAGGCCTTTGAGGGGTTTTTGAGCATCTTTTCACCTCACATGCAAAGTCAGCAGTGGCCTGTGACCGCAGGTGACCTCCTCCTTCTGGACTTTGGCTAATCCTTCTGTGTAGAACAGGTCTTGTCTGGTCGGGATTGGACTAAAAGTGATTAGCGCTGTTTGTTGCTGAGTCGCCGTTATTAGTTACTGTAGGTCTGCCAACATGCGACATTTTAAATTTGACTTGCAGGTGAAGTTATTGAGACAATATAATATATATTGCATATCTTGCATTAAAAACAAAACATCCTCTCAGTCACACCTCTCTGCATCATATGTGAGCTAATCACTGTGCAGCTGATCTCATTAACAGACGTAAGTGAGGCAAAGAAAAGGATTAATCTGTCCGATTGTTGAGGTCCGAGGCCAATGTATTTAATTCTGTTTACACTTTTTTTGTTTGTTTCTGCTGTTCAAGCTGAAACTTATCTTTTGGAAACACGCAGGTCAAAGAACTCAAGACGCAACATTTCAGCCCAGTATCATGACAGTTTGTGAAATAGTCACAAAATATGTGTAAAGGGACAAAAATGACACCAATGGAAAGTCAACGAGGAGCTTTATTTATGGTGGAGACACGGAGGAGATGCGTCCACGTGACTAAGCAACAGTCAGAGCAAGTGACGTATTTTATAATGTCAAAAAACACACTTTTTGGTGGGCAGTGGATGTGGATGGGTCCAACAAACAGGACTCGCAACCAGGAGACAGGTGTTGGACACACCGTTGTGGTTTTCCAAACTGTTCGTGACAGATTTCCTTAACAGAATTATTTGGTTTGTTGTCTCAACCTAACTTTCCTTTTTAACATATTGTCATCCCGAAAAAAAAACTTGTGCAGACGGACACAAAGCAAAAGTATAATTTGTGTAATTGTACACACAACTAATAGATTTAATTTTAAAAAACAGACATTGTCCTGTTGATGCATAATGCTCCTTTCATAACTCTGGTGTCCCGTGTGATATTCTCTCACACCCAAGTCTCACACGGTCTATAATGGAGAGGGAGAGACAGACAGAGACAGAGGGGTGGGGGGTGTCTTTAGTCTCATGCTTCAGTAGTAATTTGTCAGCGGCCATGAATGGGCTCCTTCATCAGCGAGGGGAGACAGCAACGAGCTGTGTGTGTGTGTGTGTGTGCGTGTGTGTAGGTGTGTGTGTGTGTACACTAGTGGGGGTCCGGCCTCAGATTGAAGTTTGCTCTAAGCTTCTTGTAGCCCAGATCTCTCCTTTGTATGGGCCCACAATAGGCAGTTCCCCAACAGCCAATCAGACTCCACAGAGCCCATTATTTCACTCTCTGATGGCGGCTGTGTCGAGTTGGACGAGCGTCCGCCCCCCTAAAAAGAGAGCTTTTTTATTTGAAGCGAGCAGGAGAAGCAGGACAAAGAGAAGAAAAAAGAGATTCTGTGAATAAAGAAGTTCACTTTTGAACTTAAAAAACCAAACTCCAAATTAAATGTTTATATTTTCTAACTTAGCCTTTCCAAAATAATATAAAACGTGAGAATAAATAAAGCATCACCACCCAAATGAAAAAAGACTTTCAAGAAGAAAAC